GTAAGACTAATCATGCTAACGGGGCTAACACTTGAGTCCAAACGTCTGTGGGAAAACTCACCCAACAAGTCGTGCTATCGGCTATTAGCTTCTCAATGACGTCGGAAATGACGGCTTGTAACTGGGGTAAGGCGAAGTCGGAAAAATCTTCAGAATCCAACATCCTCAACGAAAAAAAAACCTTCCACACCGCGCCGATATTTTGACTTTTTCCTGTCCGCTGTGATCAGATCAGGTAGGCGCACGTGACGTCATCACGTTGTGCTGCCGCTGCAGACATCCTTGTCACTGGGTTGTCATACAAAACCAGCATCGTTTTTATCAGTGAGTTATTTTGATGGAATGGCCGATGTCCGATATTTAACTTTAACGCTAATATCGGTCGATACCATGCCGATACTATTGTGCATCCCTAATAATAAATATATTTCAGTTGATTTTATGGTTTTTATACTTGCTTGTATGTTAGTGTACAGCACTTTGGCCAACAGTGTTGTTTTTAAAGTGCTTTATAAATAAAGTTGTATTGTATTGCATATAGGGGTAAAAACTGTCAGGATGTAATTAATGCAGCTGAAACGCACTGACGCTGGTGAGGAAAAGAGCCGAGGAGTTAACCAGTGACCTCAGGCAGAAACATCAGTAAATGTCTGTGTACACAGGAATAAAATGCAGAGTGAGGCTGTTTCTATAAGGTTCTGCAACAGAACTTTACACATTAAGTTGCTAAACAATGCTGTTATTATTTTGCAAAGTTTGGTCATCTAGAACACATGGATCTGAGAGTAAAGTAGTTTTGATTACTGAAAAAAAGAAGTTTGTCTTACTTCTATTAGGGCTAAGAAATATTCATCCCCAGTCAGAGAAAGTCATCCTGTCAGTAAATGACCGTGCTGCAGAATGAATCACTGTGTGTGTGTAGGTGTGTGTGTAGGTGTGTGTTGTGTGTAGCCAAATATAGCTACAGAAAATGCCTGGTTCATTCCCAAGTGTACATAAAAAAGCCCTGATTCATGTTAAATGTTATTTACAGCGTTTTGCCTC